TTACGCATGTATCCAGACAATTAAAAAAGTGCAAACAAATATGGAGCATATTCAAATAGCATCCAACATCAACTGTATTAACGATTAATTATAACGAGATACTGTCACTGTCTAAATACGGAAATAACAACAAAAATAAACCACTTATAAGTGTTTAACGTTCGAATAGCTCATCACTGTCCAATTTGACAACGTGTCTGTTTTGAAAAGCGAAAAAAAAAAAAAGGATGGAAAAAAGTAGTGAACGAGAAAAAAAAACTGACGAAGAAGAAACAAATCTTCAATAGCTTAAACAATAGCTGTTTAGCCAAATAACAAACACAATATGTCTGGTAGGAAAGCAGACTGACTAACATTGCCGATTAGGGCAGCTTCAAGCCATCATCATTATCGTCATAATCTAAAGTCATTTTTGCTGCACTCTTAGTACGCCTGATAGCTACTTTCCAATAGTTTTAGTGGCAACCACAATTCAGCCTTCCAATTATTCAGCAGCTTAGCTTATACACAGACACAAAAAAACAGACATATGGTCAGGAGAAAACTCTACAAGTTACTCCGATGTCAACAAAACTGACTACACTTTGAAACCCAACTCCTCCCTCCCTCTTCCATCCCTGTCTACAAATCTTTCCTGCTTTTACCAAATCCAACAACTCTCAATCGCAAATTATATTAGTCAAAGTCTGAAAGTTCTATTACTTTCCTATACAATCAAAATGCAATCAATCAAGCCGCAAGAAATAAACACCGCCAAATGTAAATAAAATGAAAATAAAAAAAATGCATAACTTAGTTAAACCTTTCGTTGTCTCATTTTAAGCTTTTAAAATATCTGATCTCAACAAAACAACATTCAGCAAATGAAATTGCAAAGACTTTAATAAAGATCACAACTAAGATATGGCCATAATTAAAAATAAAATCATTAAAAGTAAAAAACAATTGTACAGATAGAATCGACGAGTTATACCAGTAACAACTTTGGGCATGCAAAAGCACTCACTATCGAATATAAACTATCACAAATAATATATGTATTTAATCCCACCAAACGCACCCAACTGTTTTTTTCTTTGTTTTTGATATAACGCCGACTAATACCCGCTTTATTTACGGGTTACATTACTATAAGTTTCGGCTAAGTATTTCAATTTTTTATTTGATGCAGTACTTACACACAGCAGCTGCCAAAATATCAGAAGCAAACGACACGATCAACAAGAAGCATTCTTTTCCTCAAATCTTGTAACTTCTGTTGCAGTTTTTGTCGAAATGTCGTTTTGGATTTTATAAAGAAATTCATTAGCTTCTACCACACCAAAACCTGGCCACAAAAGCCATACTTGCTTAGATTATGAGCCTGTGTCAGTTCATAAAGAACTATCTATAGTTATCATTAAACTTAAACGGGCAATGAAATAAACATCATGTTTTCACTACGGATTAATCGTACACTTGAAATTTCTGTGTAATGTCGAAACAGTGCCTAAGGCCTCTTTCACGACCAAAGAATACTGGTTATCAAGTGAGAAAACTTCTTGTAACAGTTATCGGTTCTTAACTGAAGAAGTCTAAGACATCATTTCAGCACCAAATATTTAGAAATTCCAAGTACACAATTAATAAGCAGTAAAAATATGATATTAATATCTATTTCACCACCCTTTTAAGTTTAATAACGGATGCAGATGGCCTTTTATAAGCTGATACTCACTCGCTTATAACCTACGCAGGTATGAGTTTTTGACCAGATTTCGCTGTGGTAGAAGATAACAAATTCCTTCATAAAATCCAAAACAACATTCCCACAAAAACTGCAACAGAAGTAACAAGACTCGAGAAAAAATGCTTCTCGTCGACCGTGGCGTTTGTCCCCGATAATTCGGCGGCCACTGTGCGTAAGTACCGCATCAAATGAAAAAATGAAATGCTTAGCCAAAATACACAGCAGTGTAACCCGTAAATAAAGTGAATATGAACCCGCGTTATACCAAAAACGAAGAAAAGACAGTTGACTGCATTTGTCAAAAACAGAAAAAAAAAAATCTTATGGATTCGGAATTGATCCAAAATATAGCAAAAATCGATAGAGAAGAAAACCAAAAATCACACGTAATTAATTATACCAGCAACATTTGAAAACAACCCCATTAAAAAACACATACGTCAAAACGCTATTTCTAGACTCAAAACTAACTAGTCATTGCAGAGGAAGCTTTTCACTCACAAGCAGACTCTCTTCAAATGTTGTGATAATTTATTGCTTAATTTAAAATTTGCTTTAAGGTGTTTTTGCTGATACTGCTGGTGATGTAGCTGCCTGCTTCGGTGAGGCTTCCTCATCTTCAGAGTTACTAACATCTCCAAATACAGCTGCCTCACTTGGTGGACCTGGATCTTCGTTCCTCGTTTCTTCTGGGCTGACCACCTAAAATACTGAGTCAAGCGTAATAGATGAAACTTCCAAACAGACGGTAAAGGTCTAAATTTCTAAATTATCTCCGTGACAACATGCCTCCCAACGAACAGAACTAGCTTCCAGATCTGCACGAAGCAAACGTTTCAGTTCACGCTCAACTTCTGGGGCATCCATGTATTTCTTCTTCTTAGTTTTGCGAAATCTACGTTTCCGAGCACTCTTCATGGGCGGAGTCACTGAAAACCTGTTGAGTAATAACAAATATAGTTAAAACATGGAAGTTCCAGCAAACAGTGAGAAGAGCATTAAGGACCCAAAAACATCATTAACCAACATCCATGTGGCCACTGAAACATTCTGTCACGTTTGGATTTTGGGAGATCATTGGGAATGGGCGGCTCCTCTGGAGCAAGATCATTAGAACAGACCATTATTTGGGAGATGTCAGCAACTTTGTAGATATTCTTCTTGTCTATTGTTTTCATTACCTAAGCATTGAAAACCATTCAAGAAATTTGACCAATATCATTTTCAAAAAACCTAGAAGTAGCGAACCTCCACGATGCATGGCAAATCGTGAATCTTTGCTGACATTATACGCTCAGCAAATCGAATCGTCGCGTGACGCATGTCTGACTGGAAGCTGATCGACAGTTCTTCACGACTGTTTTCATCGATCATTTTAGCTGACAGTAAAAACTGTTACATTAAAAAAGCTTCTAAAAACCTCTCGAAAAAGTGGATCATGTTTTATGATAACATCAGGGAGGCAAAAAATTATGAAAATCACTTTCTTTTCGAAGTCCTGCACATGAAACTTGTCAAGACTGCAGGTCAAATACGTTTCGTAACCAGGGTAAAAGGATTAAGTGGAAGACAAGTTCACTGGTGAATGATTAAGACCATTATTACCTATTCGAGGGGCAATTCCGTCGGGAAACCGCATAATTAAGTGGTTTTCCCAATCTTGCACTTCCTCTGCAACATCCACAACGCGCTGTGGTACTCGTTTCGCTAGAATTTTTGAGGATCCAGCAGACATTGGGTAACTTTGCCTTACTAAAATATAAGCATGAAATTTTTGAAAAAGGGCAAACTTTATAAAAATTAACTCATCTGTTAACGTTAAAAACCGCCCTAACAATAATGACAACAATAGGCACCAAAACAGCTGATTTCACATGGCAAAGATGGTTTGAAAATGCAGAAGTCAGCGATGATGACCACTAGCAGACAGAACTCCACTTCAGTTTTTACTAATGCACTAAAGTTTACGTAAATATATCATAATGAAGTTTCTGGACTTGATAACAACAAAGCAAATCCAACTATAGAACACGACCTTCAGTAACATCAACAGTGCTCACACCACGTTATAATCTGTAAACAACAGCAACTGCATCCACAATGGTGACATCAAAATTTATGTACACAACTTATCATTAGTTGCAATTGGCTAGTTGCCAGTTATGTGTCAGTCGGTTCTCTTGGAGGGATTCTTCAACATACGCTGTGATCGTTCAAACCCAGTGATTGCATCGTCGTATCAGATGATTACCGAAATAGTGCAGATATTGCAAAAACAACTTCTTACCTTTTTTTTTTCTTTTCATTTTGTTTGTAACTTAGTAATCAGTAATGTGTAAGGAAAGCAACTGCTATGCGTACTAAATGATTTGATTACTTTATTTCATCTCGCCTCTGTTTCTATATATTTATTTATTTTTATATTTATTGGAACTTTCTGCCTGTGGTAAAATAATAGTGCCTGATTTTGGCTAATTTTTTTCAAAGAGTTTTGGGGATCAAAAAAGGGAAATTTTAGTTACAGATGCTTGAGTTACTAATAAATTTATATTATACGTTTTTACACTGAATAATAATAAGGATAGAGGAAATGAAACGTCGATGAACCATGAGAAATATTTTTTTTTGATGCTAATTGTAATCGTAGTTAAATGCATGCATTTCCCGACCTAAAACAAGGCCTTCTTAATACCTGGCATTGAGTTGGAGTGAGTAAGTAAACTTTAATCTGAGTTCCCAAATGCCACAAGGAAGAAGAAGTTTTTAAAGAACGACATGAAGTGTACAACAACCTTCTACAATCAAAAGAAACTCAGCGTCCAACTTTTATAAGCATGCTGAAAGTGAACCGCATTCGTAAATAATATATTTTTTAAATATTTACATTGAAAGTTATCGTTGGTACGTGTCACGGCAAGTTAAGACTATCTCTCGTTTCCTTGGATGTTGAGTTCTGAGTTTCTTAGGTGTTCTTCACATTTCTTTCACTTATACCGTCTGAATGTTTAGGAAGGATGTCTACGGACAAGGCAAACATTAACCCTTTGATAGCAAAGCCGATGAAAGATGGATGCTTACTATGTTTGATTTGTAATACTCAGGTGAACTGATTATAATAATTTAGTGTCTTTTTACTTATTGGTATATAACGGTAGATTCGTTGAATTGGCTTTTCAACCACTTATTTAAACTGTCCCTTCTAATTAGAAGTGACCATTTGATTATTGGGTGAGCTCTTCTAGCTCACGTTTTTTATCAACCGTACTTATGATCCGCAAGTGCCAGTCACAGTGAAGTTTGTTGGATTATCGTCTTCACTGCACTAGGGTCAAATGTCTTAGAAATTTGCAGGAAAATTTTTTTATTCAGGTTAAGAGCAAAGTGTGGGTAGCGCACTCGAAAGGTAGAAAGCATCTTGAAAACATTAAATTACTGAAAATGCGCCACGCAGAACAGAGTAGTATGATACAAACCCAAGTTCCGCAAACGTCATTGGGAAGTGGGAAGAGGGTAGCGAATTCATTACAAGAGTCTTTACCACCGTCTGCAAAGAAAAAAAAAGGTAAGCTTTGATTAGTTTCCCGGCTTTTTTTAGGCCGTACTCTAACTAACAAATGAATTGGTTCTGCTGCTGCAGAAGAACCTGAAGAACAACAGGCTGAAACGAGTTATAACGGTGAAAAAACGCCGTGGCAGAAAACTAAAGATTCTGGCGGCACCAGGAGCGAAAAACCCGTTTCGAAACATACTATTGCTGGTGTCCCTGAAGGGTTTTTTGATGACGAAATGATAGATAGTAGAGTTAGTAATAAGCTTTATTGTTATTTTTTGTGATTTCTTTCTTTTATATTTTGGTGTAAGAATTGTAAATGGCCATCCGCTTCGACTAGGTTTAGTCAATTCATTTCCATGATCTTTGATTTCGATGTTTTTAATAGAGGCTCGAAATAAATGCGTATGGTTAGGTTGAAGAAACGGTAGAGAAACAAGCAAAGATGGAGGAAGAATATGCTGCTTTCAAGAAGGAATTGGAAGATGCTGAAAACGAGCAAGAGAAGGAGAACGATGTTGAGGAAGAAACGTTTTCCTTAGAAAGGGATGTTAGCCACATTGATGAACACGTAAGTTGTTTTCTTCCAGATGTTCATTCAGTTTTTTTCATCATTTAATGAATTTTTTCCGTTTGGCCTCTGAAGTGTACTCATAACTATTGACTTTAGAAACAGAAGGGTTTTCAGATCGCTGGTTGGAAGGCCTTAAATAAGTTAGAAATTCATAGGGAGGAGATCGCTGCGACGACGAATGTATGCAGCGAACTCACGCAGAACAGCGAGATGTCCGATGAAGACGAAGCTGATTCTGACTGCATCGAAGATCTGTCATGGCGCAACAAGCACTTCTTATAATAATGATGGCCAATCTTTTTGCTGTCTTGTACATGTTAGTGGTGTCTTGGAAAGTTTTTTTGTTTAGCAACAAAAGAGGTAACCGATTAATCCCAATATGCCGGTTCTCTAGAATTTACGTCTAGGAATTTGCAAAGAGCTCAGAATTTTAGAGTAGCTCCCTTTCATGGCAAAAGATGGGCGCTGGTTTGCGCTTCTGATAAATGTAACAAAAAAAAGACTTCCATCTTTAGATCAAATGGAATCAGATCGTTGATATTTAACTGTAACATATGGTGACGTCTTGTAAAGTTTATAGTTATTCTGTGGGTACACAACAAGTGTGTCGGATAACAAACATTTAAACAACATTAATGCAAAAGAGAAAAGACACTGGAGACTGGAGATCATATGTTCAACCGTGAAAGCAAGTGAAGCCAACTTTTCTAGTTAGCAAAACAACAAATTAAAGATTACCCTTCAAAGGAAGAGTTAATTGTGTGCAGGCAGATCCAGACTGGTACCACGTAGACGTTACTTCTATAATCGAAAAGATCCCCCTTGTTGAGCGGGAGTCAAAATAAATCAAGTCTGTTTTGAACCCAATATAATAGATAGTTTTTCCCCCATCAGTAATTTATATCGCTGATTTTTCAAAGTTATTCCCCTTATGTTTCTTAAACAACAAAAAGGCTAAAAAACAAGAAAGGTCCTATCTACCGAGATCTTTTAAAAATAGAGGGCTAACAGCTACTCGTGTTTACAAACTGATGACTCTTAGTAGTGATTCCCGCTAGTCGCTTACTATTTCACCTTCGGACAACTCTCCCTCCTCCAAAGGAGGTTTAGAAGGCTTTTGCTTTGGAGGTGGACTACTGCTTCTTGGGGGAGTTACAGGTGTCATTTTCAATGGTGGACTTCTTCGTTTTACAACTGGTCTTTCTTCAGGAGAGTGTCTTTTCGAAGAGCCGCCTTTACGTTCCCATTTACGTGGCGGAGAGTGCGACCTAGCCGGTGGAACAGGGGATGCTCGGTTAGAAGGAATCCCCTGCTCACGTTTTTCTCTCCTTTCTGACCCACCTTCCATTTGTTGTTTCCTCTCCTCTAACGATCTGAAAAGTACAGCAATAAGAACGGATTAGGGACTTAAAAACTAAGGCTTGTCAGCTGATCCTTCTGTTGAAGCAAACAATATGAGCTATAAAGGTACTTGTGAACAAAGAGAGCTACGACAGAACTGCTAAAAGAAGCACCAAATTGTAATGTTTCTGTTTAAAATTTTGTGAAAGTCTATCCACTTTAGTTTCGAATTGTAATTTCATAGCAAAAAAATTCATTTTTTTTTTGAAAGCTATAAAACCAGTCAACCTTCGCACGTTCTGCATTTGAGTTATTTCCCGAGCAAGAGCGTTCATTTCATTTTCTTGTGTTTCAGTGTCATGTAGCCTTCGCCTCATTCGAGTAGCTATAAACATTAAAACAGCACGTAAGTCTTCTACTGCAAAAGTTTCCAAACTCTCTTCAGTCACTCTGTCGGCAGCGTCAAGTTCTGAAGCGAAAAAACTGTGAAGCATGTGAAATGAAATACAGTCTTGCATTCAAAGCGTGATTTTACTAAATCGATTCTCATTTTGAAACAAAATAAAACGCGAACCTTCAATGATTCCATTCAGCTTTGAATTATCTATTGATATTAATTTTGGGGCCGTTTTTATCGAATTGGCCTGATTCCATAAATCCGTGTCCTTTTTCTGTTTTGCCAGCAAAAGGAATGGATCTGCAAATTGACTGGTATTATACTCTCAAAAGCAAAATGTGTTGTTAAAACCAAGAGTTGAAACCAAAATAGCTATTATAAGTGAAAGAAAAAAGTATACGGTTCCTTTTTTTTTTGCAGAGCAAGTTTAATAGCAGGCAACTCACTTGCCCAGAGGGCTACAAAGTTATCAGGGTCCAAAATATCAAAAGGATAAGATGCAACATAGTTCTCAGCTGGAGATTCAGAGCCCAATATCTACAAGTTAATGAATGAAGAGCATGAATATAAACTGAAAAAATAATATACTGCGTCGCTCGTTTACCGTTTCCACACCGATTTGCAATTCAGGTAGTTGATGTGGGAAAACGCCACGCAACGTGAATTCTCGCCGTAGTTCCATTAATATACAACCAAGACGATTTCCTCCAAGGTAAGGTGGCCGAAACGCTAACGGCCGCAAAGTTGAGTCAAAAAGCTAAATCAGCAATGACTTAAAAAAAAACTAATTTAAAACCGGGTTAAAAATGAATTAATATATACTTGTTTTGTATCAAGATCTATCTGAGCAAGCCAAGACCGCAGATCTCTTTCCCGCATTCCAATAGACAACTCAGCTTCCAAAGAAGAAAATCTTGAACAATAAACTAATAAAGCATCCTGAGTGTCTAAAAGTGCACGCATCAAAGGCGGATGTTGCTCAAACATTAATCCTAAAGCTATTTTAATTGCGCGCTGGCGTTCATCCATATACCATCCCTAAAATACTAATAATAAGCAAGAAGGAGCTGTAGAAATTGCGCTCTTAGAGAAGTCTTGAGGAAAACTTATGAAAGGAACCTTTAAATGTATATATTGTAATAAAGTTCTGAGGAGTCAATAACCTGAATCTTATCGAGTGACGCTGTGCCTTTTTCGATAATATAATTTAACCTATGCCAACACTCTGTGCTGTGAGAATTTTCCAAAACCCATTCTGCATCTTCCGGGCACATGTTGAAGTATCTACAATTCGCTGCTTTTCAACTCAACTGTGAGACAACTCCTTATCCTACGTGTTCCTCAAAACTCACTTAGGCAATAAACTTAAAAATCACTCAACAAGTTAGAAAAGGCAGTTTACAACTACACAAAAGAACTTACTTTGTAGCATGCTTGGCAACATAATGGGCGGGTGAAGGAAGCAGATCTGCCGAGTTTGGAGGCCTGACCATCGCTGGATACAAGAAATGGAAAACACTTTCAGCGGTGAAACATATCATATGGGAGGTTATCAAAGTGCGTAACTCTGCTGCAGTAGAGAGGGGTGAAACCAACGGGATCCTATTTTGAGTAGATAATGAAGCAGCAAATTTAGCCCTTAATTCCATCAACAAAAGGCCGGTTTTATTACCCTGAAATAATAAATATGCAATAAGAAGTTGAAGAAACTTCAAACAAATTTT